TGGATGACGGTGCCCTTGGCATCTGTCACCAGATGAATCACGGGCGAAGTCTCCATAGGCTCGCCTGTCACTGATGATGATGTAACTGTCCCCACAGCAGAGGCTCCAGACCCTTTAAGGCAGAGCCGAGGAAGTCCTTAAAGAAGCGTCACACACACACACACCAGTGGTGTCTGGGCCAGCAGCCCCGATGGGGAACGGCAGCCCCAAACGACCCGGGCCCACACCCACCCTGCTGACCTGCAGGCACGTCCTCTTGGCTGACAACCACATCCTTGCTCACGCTGAAGCGAATTTTTTCCGTGCATGGGGTAAGAGACTTGAGATGCCGGGTCAGCGCACCCGACTCCCGGAAGCTCTTTCCACATTTGGCGCACTTGTAGGGGCGCTCATCTGCGGAGAGAACCGAGTCAGCCCCGGGCAGACACCCAGAGCCAGGGCACCCCAAGCTGGGGTGGGCGCCTGAGCCAGCCAGCAGGGCACTGTGTGGCTCTGGCCCCCAGGCCCCAGCCAGGCTCACCCGTGTGCCGCCGGTGGTGCCGGATGAGCGAGCCCTTGGTGCGGAAGGAGGCCCCGCAGAGCTTGCACTCGTGGTCCTTGCGGCTGCTGTGGGTGACCATGTGGGCCTTGAGGATGCTGCCCTGTGGGGGAGGGGCAGTGAGGCTCAGGCACCTCCCTGGGGGAGCAGGCGGGAGGCCTGGCCGGCGTGCGGCCCCCGAGGCTCACCGTCTTGAAGGTCTTGTGGCACAGCATGCACACGTAGCGGCCGTCCTTGTTCACCAGCAGCTTGACCTGGGCCTGCTCGCCCTCCCCAGCAAGCCCCAGCCCCTGCCGGTGGGGGCTGCCTGGGGCCTCCGCCATCTCACTGTCCCCTGGCTCTGCTTTAGCAGCCACAATGACCTCTTTGATGTGCCCACCACCTGAGGAGAGGCAGGTCAGCCTAAGCTTTGGGACCCGCCACAGGCTCTGCCACCTCCACGGGATCCCTGCCCAGAGAGACTGCTGGGGCCCTGGAGCTGTCCAGACCAGCCCCAGCCCCAGGACATGGGACGTGCTGCTCTGGAGGCAGCCAGGGAACTGCTCAGCCGCTCCGAGGTCAGCCTGAAAGGGCAGTAGACAACCCCCCTCCTCGACCGTGGAGCGGCCCGGAGATGCTCCAGGGCCCCTGACGCGTGTCCAGCAGGGAGACCCACCATGAGCACAGGTGCCCCATCCCGAGCCAAGAAGACACACAAGTCCTGGCGAGAAGGTGCCCAGTACCCAGACAGGGGTCGGGCCAGCCCGGCTCACTGACATCTGCCCTGCACCAATGTAGAGGGAATGTGTCCGGGGGTTGCCACTGGCTAGGCTGCTGGCAGACCCAGCCAGAGCCCTGTACCCAGGCAGACTGGGGACACTCAGCCTGGGAGAGTGAATGCTCTCCAGACACCTGGGGTAGCCTGAGGAAAGGAAGTCGGGCTTTTGCACTTCTTACAGGGTGCTGAGCAAGTCTGACAATGTGCAAAGCTGGGCCGTAAACACACTTCACGTTTTCTGCTCATAAAAATGACAAGTGGGAAACAGCTGTGAAACCACTTCTTAGATATCGTCTCAGTCGGCTTGGCGTCTTGTTTTGACAGGCCACTCTCTTGAAACAGAGCGAAAGCGCCGTGAGTCAGAAAGAATTAAGGGCTTCTCTTGCCTGTGCCCTGGCTGATGTGTTCGATGCCCCAGAAATGATCTTCCGAAAGGACAGAGACCTCTGGCCAGCGAGGATGCAAGGGGAATGCAGCTGCCCCAGATCAAGACAGGAGACACAGTTTGTTTCCAAGGGAGAGGCAGGAGGGCCAGGAGCGGGGTGTCCAGCCCCTGCCCCGCCCCGGGCCACTGGCAGCTGGTCTCCACACAAGGCCAGCAGGAGTCCTGGCCAGCCCTTGGCCCGGGCCCCTGAGCCTGCGCACTGGCCAAGGGGCACACTTAGGGCACCCAGGGTGCCTGCAAAGGGAAAATCCGAAGGGTGCAGGAGAGGCAGGGGTGAGCAGTGCCCGGAGGGACTGCCAATGCCGAGCCGAGGCTTGGAACTGCTGGAGGTCAGGGTGGGAGGAAAGGGGCCTGGAGCAGCTGCCAGAACCCAGGGAATGTAGGCTCCCAAATGATACCACCCCAGAAACCAAATGCCCCACCAGGGCCACAGCACGCCCCACCTCCCATGTGCACATTCCTGTCCCTCCTATCCTAACCCAGATGAGTGTCCTTGACATAAGAATGCCGGGGAAAGGCGGCACAGAGACCAAGACGGGTGTTCCTGCTACCTCCCAGAGAGCAGCCTGTGCCCGGGCTCCCTTCCCAGGCCCGAGGCTAGCCTCCGCCACGGCTCCTCCAGCCTCTTCCTGCCACAGCCGCTCCCCAGGGCCTCCCAAGGCCAAGTTCGACCTGTTGCCCAGACCCGCTTCCTGTCCAGCTGCCCACTCACCCGCCTCAGCCCCCGCCCGGCAGGCAGCCCCAGCAACAGCCATGCCCTTCCCAACTCCCACCACATCAGGCCCAACCCGGCTTCCGTTGCCCGGCACGTGCACACCCAGCCACTCATCCCCACGCCTGGGACAGCCCCTGGCTCCCATCTGCCCAGGCCCTGGGCTGCCCTTTGAATGCACCCCCGGTATGTTCATCTGTCCCCGATTAAGGAGAGCCTGACCCAATTCAGACCTCACAACATCCCCTTTCCCCTGCACATCAGTGAGACACTTTAACTTAAAAAACAGCCATCAAAAAGGCTTGGCTTGTACGCTCATAAAAGCCGCGTGAGAATCAGGGCGGCAACCACCACCCCAGCATCAGAGTGAGGAGGTTCTGGGGAGGTGCAGTCCAAGGTCAGGCAGCGAGTCAGGACCCTGCGCGAGCAGCAGGTGCCACCCGGTCTGCCCCACACCCACCCGCCAGAGCCACTGCTAGGGCAGGTGGGCCATCCTGGGGGTGTCCCCAGGGGGTGCTTCCTGGAGGCAGGAAACAGGAACCTGAGGGGTGGGGAAGATTCTGGAAGGACCCGGGCAAGGACAGCTTGGGAAAACACACAGGAAAGAGCAACCAGCTCGTGATTAAGCACAAATCCAAGATTCCCGATGCCAGGGTGTGCCCCAGAGCTGCCCAGACCACTGTGGACACACTGAGGAAGGCCCTGGTTCCCCATTCCTGGCAAGGCCTCATGCGCAGTGCTCCCTCCTCCTGCAGCCCGTGCCCTGGGGAAGGCTCATGAGAGCCCTCGGTCCCCTCCTGGCCAGGCCTAGCTTTCGGCAGAGAGGAGGGTACAGGCAGCAGAGGGCCCACATTCCCTGGCCCTGACCACAGCTGGCTATCAAGTCAGTGATGCGTGGACAGCTGACTCACCCACCAACCGTGGCCATGCCTGGCTTACCGACGAGGTCCGGTGCGTGGCCAATGTCCGCTGCCAGAGAGGCCGCCTCTACCACGATGTGGGCCACGGTGATGGGCTCCTCTGGGCCAGCCGCCGCTGGCACCACCTACCAAGGGAGAGCAGGGGACAGAGGGGACTTGTCTGTAGGCTCCAGAGTTCCTAGAGAAGCCTGGGCTCCCTCGGCATGGAGCTGCGGGGGAGAGGGCCTGGGGCATGCAGAACTGGGCTGGGGCTCTCTTCCCCCAGAGGACCACTGCTTGGAGCCTGACTCCCAGCCTGGCTCCTTCTACCCAGGGCAGGGGTCAACCCCATCACCCCAATGTCTCTGGCCACCAGGAGCTGATCCGGAACTCTGAACATCTGCGGGGAGTGACCAACAACTCTGGAATGGAGCCGGGTTGGTTTGCAGGAATGAAGGTGAAACAGGCAACCCACCAGCCTCGGCCAAGGGGTCCAAGGAGAAGGCCCAGAGCCTTCCTAGAGGAGAGGGCCCCTCTAGGAGGGGCAAATACAGTGTCAGAGTGAGATGACCTGGGTTCCAATGTCATCTGGGCCACTCCTTGCTGGTAGCTTAAGACCACTGACTTCTATCTGAGCCTCCTTTCCTGTTCTCTACAATGAGGATGACAAGAGCTCCCGCCCTGTGGGGTGCTACGGAATTTAAAAGACTGAGTACAGCCCCAAGCACATCAACAAGGTTGGCCATTTTTATCACAAGGTGGTGGGACCCACAGGGCCATGCCTGGTTTGTGGGATCCCCAGGAACTATGTGCCAAAAACACAAAAGCCACCATGATACCCTCAAGTCAAGAGAGACCCTCAGACGCCAAGAAAGAAGCAACACCAGTCCCCTAACTGTACAGGCTTCGGCCAGAGGCTGCTGAGAAGGCTGGGCCACCCCAGGCAATCCAGGACACGCCAGAGCAACATCAGGCTCTTAGTGACACAGCCCAGACCTTCCCTCACCTTCAGCCAGATGCCTGCCCTCTGCCCGCCCACATGTCCCCAGGAACCAGCTGCACAGGTCTGTCCTGGCACACTGCCTCCTCCTCCTCCTGTCAGGTGAGCCCAGGGAGGGGTGTGTGCGTGTGGTGGCCGTGGGGTGGGGGCTCACCTCCTGGCCCAGCAGTGCGGTGGTGGCAGGAGTGGCGGGCAGGGCCTCTGGAGGAGCCCGCCGGCAGGCCTTCTGAATCTTGTGCTGAACGAAGTCTTCCAAGGCGGTGAACTCCGCCTGGCAGCGGCCACATCTGTGCACATCGTCCTCATCTGCAACAAGCCTGCTGTCAGCAGGGCCTGGGCTTCCCCTCCAGCCTGAGACCAAACTCACCCAAGTCTGGCATCAGAGCCAGAGCTCCTTCCCCGGCCCTCCCAGAGGATAACATACTCGGGGGCCCAGGACTAGGTAACCCCAGGGTGCAGCCCCCATCCTCCGGAGTTCTGCAGGAGCAAGGCCCACCCACGGAGCACAGCATCCAGTAGGGCGTGGACCTGGCCACACGCTGAGCCACCAGGATCCACTGAGGCTGTCAGGCCCAAGCCCTCCATTTTAGCAGTGAGGGAGAGAGGATCAGGAGAGGCGCTGGGAGACGGAGGGACGCCCCAGGCAGGTTTGGGGACAGTAGAGGACTGGGATTTAAGACTGTTGGGGTGTGGATGTGCCCTTGGGCACCTCAGTGACCTCTCTAGGTCCATTTCCTCATCTGCAAAATGGGATGACCCAGTGTGTGTACGGGGTACAGTGGGGGCTCATAGGCTGATGCCCACAGCAGGGCCCTGACCTGTGACCACTCTTCTCACTGATTTGGGGCTTCATTGGTTCCCCAACGGGCAGCACCCCTGCTCAGACTTAGACGCCAATGGTAGAGCTTTCCAGAGGGGTTCCATGCCCCAGGGCGACTGCACCTGAGCCCCTCATCATCACCATGCTGGCTCCACATCCTGCAGAAGAGACTTCGTGCTCACTGAGTCCCTACTGTGGGCCAAGCACCTCACTGGGGACATCACCAAATCCTGCCAGCACCCTAGGGAAATGGAGATGACTATTTCCATCCTAGAAAAATGATTTGAGGTTCAAGGTCACCCAACTGCTCAGTTCTGGGGCCAGAACCTGAACTTGAGGGTCTACTCCGGATGCCCTGCTGTTTGCACCGAGGGGTGGGGAGCTGTCCCTTCTGCTTCCACAAAAGTCTGCCAGTTCCCATCACCTCATGTTCGGTCGCACATCAAGGTCAAACCCAAGGCTGGTGCACAGAAGCCTGGTAAATGTTTGTTGAAGTAATGAGCAAACACAAGGCCAAACCACAGCTCTGTCTTGCCCACAGAAGGCCACCTGACAGGCCACCTGGTCCCCTCCCGATGGCTCACAGTCACAAACCAAGCACTGAGGTGCCCACCACCCTCTTAACCTTCCCGCCCCGCTTGCCAAATCTGGCTCGACACCAGGGTATTGCCATTGAAGAAGCCCCTACCCCATTAGGAGACACACCCAGCCCATTTCACTGAAACAGGTGTATGAGCAAGCCCAGCAACCCCCAAAGGGACCCCTCTCCATGTTGGCACTGCCCCTCTCCAAGCTGGAATAGGAAGGGACAAGGAAAAAAATGCACAGACTATGAATCCTGTGAGCACAAAGACAAGACTACCCTAACTCCAGTACCACTAGCCAACCCCTCCCTTCCTGTCTGACCCCTTCTACAGCCTCATGGGACAAGCTCAGAGGATAGAGACCCAAGCTATGTCTCCAAAAGCTATCAGTGCCCCCATGAATGAGTCCTTAGTGTGTGCCCGACACCATTCTTGGGGCTTTACACATACACGATCCTCCTACGAGATACAGAGCCCAGGGGGCAAAGGGGCTGAGCCGCAGAGCTTCACAGTCCTGGGATCCAGTCCAGTCCTTGCTACTTACTAGCTAGGTGACTCGGTCACCTTCACATCTCTGAACATCAATTTTTCTCATCCCCCAAATGGGAATAATGATAATAATAGCATCCACGTCTCAGGATTGGTTTGAGAATGAAAACCGCTGATACAGAGTAAGTGCGGGGTATATTATGGGCTGCAGCAGCCACCTCATTTTGTAAGGGGAAATGGAGGCTCAGGGAAGTGTAGTCACCCTCCCAGCATCAAAGAGCTAGAAAGTGGCACGTCTGGGACGGAGCCCACAGGCTGGCTGCAGTGCACCAGCTCTCTTCCACTGGGCTCTGCTGCCTCCCCACGGACAGGCCTAGAGCCCAGATCCTGGAGAGACCTGAACCCCGCCCTCCTGGAGCCTCCAGCCCCACCCGGGCCAGGGCCCTAGCGGCCGGTCAGATGCAGTGGGAGGGGGCCCGGAGGAGGGAAGGGCCCTGCTCTGCACAGGAGGCAGAGGAGGGGCCGGGCTGAGGGGGCAGGGCTGGCGGTGGTGGCATCTGCGAAGGCCTACAGGGAGAGCCCGGAGGCTTGGGCACCTGTGAGTACCCGTGAACACGCACCCTAGCCCCCGCGGGATATGGGCGCCCCGCAGGGGAGGCCGTGAGGGTCAGAGAAAACCTGGGGGGCTCGTGGCGGGCTGTGCGGGGCCCCGTGCGGTCCGCGCGGAATCTGGGTCTGGGAGGGTCTGTCGCGCTCGCAGCTCGGGCCATTGAAACCTCCGCCAGCCCAGGCTGAGCCGCCCCCACCCCGACCGCACCCGGCCCGGTCTGGCCCCGTTACCTTCCTCGCTGAAGGGCGCCGGGAAGCCGAGGAAGCCGCCGGGGGCCAAGGCCGTCGCCGCCGCTCCCGCCGCGACCCCGCCTTCGCCCGCTTCCCGCCCGGCTTCGGCCGGGGCTTCTGCCGTATGAGCGGCCGTCACCCGCACTGCCATCGCGCCCTCCATGTCGCAACGCGCCGCAGGAAGATGGCGGATTTACGACCGTGTCGTCATAACAACGGGCCGCGCCGAGGCTGGAGCTAGGGAACGACGGGAGGAGGGCGGGGCGGGCCCAGAGTGGAGTTGACAGACAGGCGGGGAGGCGGGACCTGGGGAGGGGTGTGGCCTGGGATCCTCACAGAGAGCGGGGCCGGGCCGGGGCGGCGGGGAGGGGCGTGGTTACGGCGGAGCGGATCGCGGGGCGGGCGCGGCTCCCAGGCTCCAGAGCCAGAGCAGGTTTGGCGGGCCGGCCCCAGAGCGGACGGTGCGGGAGGTCGCCCCAGGGAGCCGGGGTACGGCCCCAGCGGTGCGGTGCCCGCCGCTCCCCTCACCCCCTCACGTCTCAGAGCCTCTCCAGATGGTTACCGGGTCTCCGGAGAGCCCGAGCCGCTCATGAGCGGCTTTGCGCCTTTTATTCTTGTATGTATTTTTAAAACTGTGGTAAATACACATAAAATTTACCATTAGTGACGTTACCATTAGTGGCCTTCACAGTGTCGTGCAACCACCACCGCTGTGTAGTTCCAGAGCGTTCTCATCATCCCAAAATGAAACCTGTCTCTGTTAAGCAGGCATTTCCCATTCTCCCCCCCGGCCCTGGCGACCACTGATCTGTCCATATGAATTTACCTATTGTGAACGTGTCGTATAAATGGAATTATTCAATTTGTGTCATTTTGTGTCTGGTTTCTCTCACTCAGCTTAATGTTTTTGAGGTTCATCCATATAGTATGTGTCAGTATTTGGCTCCTTTTTATGACTGAATAATATTCCATTGTATAGATAAGCCACATTTTATTTATTCGTTCATCACATTTGAGTCGTTTCCACCTTTCTGGCCATTGTGAATGGTGCTTGCTGTGAACATTCATGTACAAGTTCCTTTTCTTTTCTGTAAGGTAATATTTAATTACTTCTTTGAAACCAAGTGCTTCACAGGGTAGCTCATGTAGGATAGTCACCCACATTTTGAAGATGAAAGAGCTGAGGCCCGGACTGATAGCACACTTCCCAGAGGCAAGACTGGCGCAGGTCTGTCCAGAGCTGCAGGCTGGGAACCCACATGGCTTGCCTTCCATGCGCACTTATTCTCCGTGGGCCAGCCGGATGCTGGGAGCCAGGGACGCGGGGCCATCAGACCCACTCCCCTCCAGCAAGGTGTCACCAGGGAAGATGGAGTACAAACACAAGGAGGGCCCAGAAGAGAAGCGTGTCCCTCCGCAGGGAGTGGGAAGGGCACTGGACAGAGGCAGCCTCCGTGCCAGAGCTGCCCAGCTGGGAAACAGGGCCTCTGGCCTGACCGGAGCTGGGATGTGCAAGAACAGGTAGAGGCACGGGCAGTCTGGCTGGGGTCACGATGGGGCTGCTTTCTGCAGGCAGGTCCCAAGCCACTGCAGGGGATTAAGCAGAGGGAATGATGGTGGGTGTTTTGGGGGGGTCCCTCTGCTGAGCAGAAAAAGGACCTTAGGGCCCCAGCAGAGGCAGGAGTGGGGCTCAGGAAGCCACCGGATCCAGGGTGGATGGTCTCTGAGAGGGGAAATCGGGAGGAAGAGCAGGTTGGGCTCGGAGAACAGGGATCTGGAGGGCTCCCAGTGGGAGGCGGACCGGAGACAGCTGGGTGAGGTGAAGCCAGTGAGGAGGCAAGCCCAGAGCCCAGGTCACTGCCCTTGAGCCTGTGCTGGAGGGTAAGAGAAGCCGGCATCCGGAGGAATGGACGTTTGAACGTTCCTCCCCTCCGAAACTCCTGCAGAAACTGAATCCCCAGTGTAACGGTATTAAGAAGTGGGCTCTTTAAGAGGTGATTGGGTCATGAAGGCTCCACCCTCATGAATGGATCAATCCATTAATGGGTGAAGGGTTATCACAGGAATGGGTCAGTAATCTTGACAGCGGGTCTCTTATGAAGGCCAGGTTGCCCCTCTCCCGTGGCCATGGGATGCCCTGTGTGCCTGGGGACTCTGCAGAGTCCTCACTAGCAAGAGTGTGGCCTCAGGGGATGTGGCCCCTCTACCTTGGACTTCCCAGCCTGCAAAACTGTAAGAAATAAATTTCTTGTTTTTTATAAATTACCTAGTCTCAAGCATTCCATTATAGCAACAGAAAACAGATGAAGACGGGGGGCGGGGGGAAGGATTCTGAAGGCAGAGGACGACGTGGGTGTGGATGGACGTGAGGACAGGCTGGCCCAGGGTGGACCCGCCGGATGGAGGGTCAGGGCCAGGCCAGGGCTTCTGCTTGGTTACTCCCTGGGAGTCAGAAAAGGGCATCCTGCCAGGTGAGTTCTGGGCCCTGCCTTGCACAGGGCAGTGGAAGGCAGAGTGGCCAGGAGCAGGCAGGGGGACCGGAGTCTCCCTTCCCCCAGATAGCCCCCTCTCCTACCCTGCCCTCGTCCTGGGCTCTAGCTGAACCGTGTGTTGACTTTCCGTGGCCATACCTAGACAGGAACTCTAAAATGCTTTACGATATCTGCTCAATCTCCATTGGTTGGATGTACTTTGTTTAGCCAATCTCATGTGGAACATTTAGGCTGCATCCATTTTTTTTTTTTTTTTTACCACTTGAGTCCTTTTTCTATGACCCTCTTTTTTGCTTAGCTCATTAGAAGCAATAACATCTGTGTAAACACAGATTAAATGGCTGCTTGTATGTTCTAATACAATGTAAATCCAAGCCACACTATTAAGATAAATACTATCTGTCCTTGTACCACTTAAAACCATCCCCCATTCCACAGAAGGTATGAATTCCTCACTTGGGGAGATACTAGTGCCATCCAGTCACAGGTGTATAATGACTGCCTCCTGTGTGTCGGGAACACATTGTGACAGGTTCCACTCCTATCCAGATGAAGGGCCACCTCATCCTGTTCCCACCCAACGTCAGACCTCCCCCATAAAGGGCACTATCCCTTCCAGCCTCCTCCATGACCTCGTCCACAATCATCCTGTCTCTTACTCCTGGCCATCCCACCTCTCCCACTATGCCAGCTCAGTCCCTATCACCTACTGACAGGTAGGCACACTCAGAGGATGTAAAACCAACTAGATGCAGCAGAGCTCGGCTTCGGGGTTGACAGACTTTAATCCCAACTCAGCATTGTCCAGTTGGTGACTCTCTGTGGCTCAGTGTCCATATCTATAAATGGGGATACTAATAATCCCTGCCTCTCAGGGCTATCCTGCGGTTCTGACACGCTAACGCAGGTGAGGAGCAGTGCTTACTGCCCGGATGCTTCCTGAGTATCCAGGAAACCAAGGCAATCAGACAAGTATTGCAGGAGCTGAGTCACCGCCGGACCTCATCAGAGTTTCCTACTCTGGTCGTTGTATCTAATCAACTGGATGGTAAATGCAGGGTTTGTGATTCTTGTCAAATCCAGTTCTTCCCAGGGTCAGCCCGACCACCAAAACCAAGCACGAAGACTCAGGAAGGAAGGTGCTCTCCTTCTGGGCAGTGGGTGCTCCAGGCAGTAACACTTTGTAGGCCCTGCCCTTGTAGGCTGTGGTTCCTGTCCTCCAGGGGTTCCCAGGTCAGCAAAGACCAAAACAAATGAGAGAACTTTTTGGGGTGCTGGAAATATTTCATATCTTGATTCAGGTTATGTTTACGCAGGGCTATACATATCCACATGTAAAAACTCCATCCGGCTCCACACTTAAGACTTGTCCCCTTCACTGTGTGTTATGCCTCAATAGAAGTGAATAACTAATAATTGACGATGACTCCAGGGCCAACTGAGTGCTACATGATAGGCAGTGTCCTTTTAGATCCCAATGCCACTGCCTGGTAATTACCGGCCCACGTGACAGGGAGAGTCTTACTGCAAGGGGCTGGAGGCGAGACCGCGCGGCCCGCTGCGGAGGGCGTCCTCGGCTGGCTCCAGAACTGGAGGGCAAACCGCCCCCGCGCCGACGTCGGGCCCCGACCGTGCCCAGGACACAGGCACCGGCCCGGGCGCGGCCCAGCCTAGGCGCGGACGTGACTCCGGCCCCCGCGGCCCCTCGGCCCCTCCCGCGCTCCTGCGGAGAGCCCCGCCCGCGAGAGGTGCCAGCCAATGAGCAGGCGGCCCGGCCCGGGGTCACTTAATCAAGGGCCTCCGTCACCTAAGCTGACCACTCGCCTCCAATGGGCGCGCTGCCCTGCCGCCGCCGAGAGGCCGCGACCTTACGTCCCGCGCCGGCTCTCCAGCGCCCTGCAGCGTTTCCGCAGTGGGCGCTCCACTCCGAATGCCGGTTGGCGCCCCACCAACCAATCGCCGGTGCGCCCCGAATCCGGCAGCCAATGGCTGTCAGCCTCCCCGCGCCGGGCTGCGACGGTTGGCGCTGAGTTCCAGCAGCCCGCGGGAGGCGGGGGCGGATTGGCGCAGGCAGCGACCAATGGGAGGCGCGCGCGAGGCGCGGGACCAATGAGCGCGCCGGGGGCGGGGCGGGCGCCGCGGCGGGCGGCTGTGAGGAGCGGCCGGTGGCGGCGGCGGCGGCGGCCGGTGGCGGCGGCGGGCGGCTGGCGGTCATGGCGGAGGCGGAGGCCGGCGGCGACGACGCCCGCTGCGTGCGGCTGAGCGCTGAGCGGGCCCAGGCGCTGCTGGCCGACGTGGACACGCTGCTGTTCGACTGCGACGGCGTGCTGTGGCGCGGCGAGACAGCCGTGCCCGGCGCGCCCGAGGTCCTGAGAGCGCTGCGGGCCCGCGGCAAGCGCCTCGGCTTCATCACCAACAACAGCAGCAAGACTCGCGAGGCCTACGCCGAGAAGCTGCGGCGCCTGGGCTTCGGCGGCCCGGCGGGGCCCGGCGCCGGCCTCGAGGTCTTCGGCACGGCCTACTGCACGGCGCTCTACCTGCGCCAGCGCCTGGCCGGCGCGCCGGCTCCCAAGGCCTACGTGCTGGGCAGCCCGGCCCTGGCCGCCGAGCTGGAGGCCGTGGGCGTCGCCAGCGTGGGCGTGGGGCCCGAGCCGCTGCAGGGCGACGGCCC